TTAGGGTTTTAGGGTTTGGGGTAAAGCCCCACACCCTCCAAAACCCTAAACCTCCTAGAACCCCAAACCTCCTAAAGCCCTAAGCCCCCCAAAGCCCTAAACCAGCTAAAGCTCTTTAAGCCCCGTAAGGCTCTAAATCCCCCAAAGCCCAACGCCCTAAACCCCGTACAACTGAAAGGCAACTCAGAGCAGCGAGTCGGAGCATCCAATTAGGTGCCGTGGGGAACATGGGCTAGGGATTTAGGGTTTGGGGTTCCGGGTTTGAGGTTTATCATTTTAGATTTAGGGGTTGGGGTTTAGCGGTTGGGGTCTAGAGTTTAAGGATATAGGATTTAGGGCTTGGAGCTTGGAGTTCAGGCTGTATAGGATTCACGGTTTAGGGTTTCCGATTAAAGAAGTGGTAAGTAAGGCCTAAAGAGGGGCAAATGCATATCCCCTTCAATCCTTCTGGCTCCACATGATGGCGAGGGTTTTTGAGCTTTGGGACTAGGGACTTGGGGTTGAGAGTCTTTTGGGTTTAGCGATTTAGGGTTTTAGGGTTTTGGTAAGGGGCCTGCGGGCTTGATGCAGACCTTTTGGGAGGATTTGCAGATCTAGGTATGTGGTTGTTAGTCCTAAACCCTAAACCCTAAACCCTACGTCGTGTCAGGGGCTGAAGATGCAGCTCCGAAGTTCAACTACAACTGGAACTTTGGGTGCACTGGGAAGGGAGGGCAAGAGCAGCCTGCTGGCGATGATCCTTGGTGTTGTCTTTGTATTTGGGGGTTTAGGGTTTAGGGCTTAGGGTTTAGGGTTTAGGGCTTAGGGCTTAGGGCTTAGGGTTCAGGGCTTAGGGTTTAGGGTTCAGGGCAGGAAGGTCTGCCCTTACCTACTCGGCGAAGAATGAAGAAGGGAATATACCTGCTATAGCGGAGAATCAAATGGAAAAAAGCATGGGAAATGACATGGAAACAGGGTCTATAGGGGTTTTGTAGGACCTTTTACTGGGGGTTGGTAGGGAATGATTGAAGCTTTCATGTAGGGACTATGCAGAGCTTATATTCCCTCATTCCGTCCTAACCACCAGTAAGTTGTACGGGGAAGCTGGTGAAATTCTTAGCTTAAGTTGCCAGAACATCGGTATCTAGTGAATAGCACAATCTTCGGCGATTTAGTTTAGGTTCTTTAACAGCAAGCCCAGTTTGAAAGGCCTTTGGTTTGGCTTTTAGGGCTTAGGGTTCCGGGTCTAGAGTTCAAGGTTTCCGGTTCAGGGTTCGGGGTTTAGGGATAGTGGGGCTGAGGGTTCCAATGATCCTGCGCATCAGCATTTTGAAGGCATCAACTTGCAGGTGCCGTAAGGGAAGGCAGATTTCAAGAGTATTCGTGACAAACCATGCGCAGAACCTACTGCTGCATACTCAGCATTCTTATCGAAGCGTCGTATTACCAAGGGGGCTTTAGTTACCCTAGTCCAAATTGTAGGCGTGGGGGCAACTAATATCCTCCGACAAGTAATACAAAGGGGGGATATATAGGGTTTCTATAGGGGTATAAAAGAAGGGAGGGGATAAAGGACAAGAAAATGGAAACTGCTATTTAGGGTTGAGGGTCTAGGGGTTAACAACCATGCGTGATCTTGGTCTACTATAGTACCACAGTTTCCAGGGTTTGATGCACCTAGGGCTATGCCGGATTCTTAGTATCAACCGTAGGAGGGGGGCACCACGGCATTTTTCCAGTGTACAGTTTAGGCACGCGCTAGGGAGCATTGAGAATTTAGATCATAAATATTGGGGCACCCACCCCCCCTATGCACCACACAAAAAAGAGGGATATTCCACAATTTCGAGGAACCTCATACCTGAAGCCTCCTTAGGGTTTAAGGTTTAAGGTGTATGGTTCAGGATTTAAAGTTTAGGGTGATTTTCCATCATTATTCTATTTTCGAAGTCCTTTGTAGTCTGGTCAGCCTTGCACTTGGCAGCCCCAGACATTAGCCCTGGAACCTTAATCCATGGTCCCACTATTTGAATCTTCGTCCCTAGGCGCAGAGCCCTGAAGCCCAAATCTAAAGCTCTCTTCTGGTTTGCTCTTAAGGAATTAAAAAGATTTACTACAATATGGGTATATAGTTAATCGGCTTTCCTTACTTTAGGAACTTAGTTTAAGCTCCTTAGCAGCAATCCAGTTTCAGGATCTCACCTTCAACTTAAACTGGAACTTCTGCTTTGACGAGAAGACTCTGGGTGAGATCCAGAAGCTTCAGAAGGACTCTGCGAGCAAGCCAAGCAGTTGTGAGTTCCCAGCCATCCTTGGGGGGGTTTTAGGTTTTAGGGGTTGAAGGGTTTTAGGGTTGAACGGGTTTCATTAGGGTATTAGGGCCTAGGGCCTAGGGCGTTTTATGAGGGCGTATCACTGAGCCCCCAATCGCCTAAGCCTGAGGAGGTAGTATAGGGGTCCTATGCTATTTGGGAACCCTGCGTCGGGTTTTGTACAGGATTTTGTGGGTGCTTGGGTCTTCACGGGTGGGCCTAGGGTCAAGGGTTCTGGAGCCCAAACTCCAACGTGTGCTTGCATGTGGCTATTGCTTTCGTTTATGTATTGAGTACCTTGGGTGTAGGGTGTAGAATATCGGGTCTATTTGGGATTTAGGGTCTATCTGTAAGGCTCTTTTTGGCGATCCCCTGTCCTATCCCCAGAGAGGCCTTTAGTTTTGCCAAGCAACAGCGAACCCCAAGGAATCCTGGGTTAAGTTTTCCAATATAAACAAGTGGTGCTGTTGTTGGTTCTTCGGGACCTAGGTCTTATGGTTGCATGAAGAGCTTCGACTTCACCTCGCTTACGAACAAGTGCCAGTGCTTTCCAGGAAACGCAGCCGCCGTTTATCAATTTAATCTAGCAGCTGGGGAGGTACACTTGAGAATTTTGGAGTTCACATAATCGTACTATACCACAAAGTGTAGACTTTCTTGGCATAGGGAACTCAGCATTTGTGTTTATACTCTCATCTCCATCCGCAAACTCATTCAGAAGAGGGGCGCGCAATCTCTCAACCAGGGTCTCAGCAGAGATCCAGGATGTGCTGAGACCTTCCTGGGGAACACTTGCTGCCCCGACTACAAGAGCCACTGTGAGGCCGGAGCGGCGCCAGAGGCCCAGACCACGGCTACAGCGGTGACAATTGCTGGGTACCTTACGTTACAAAGTCCTAACAAGGGAGATGGGTCAAGGGGCGTAGAAGTCCTTGTTTACCCCAATGATCCCTAATCCTCACTCCCTAAGGTTCTCCAGTACAAGCCCCTTAGACCGACTCCCATCATGGACGTTTTAGATTGGTTTGGGTTCTTGCTCGAGTTCTTCGTGGGGAGGTATCGCCGGAGTCATGTTGCATATGTAATCTGGTTAGCCGAGGTACACAACCTACGCAAACGCACATTGCTCGGATGTGAAGGGTGCTTCTGAGCTCACCAGCACCAACGCATCTCCCGATGCCTGCGCAAAGCAGTGCCAAAGTAATGCGGAGTGTGAGGGATTTACTGTATCGAGCCAGAACTCTTGCACCTTGCTGGCCGGCATCAACATTCCTGCCTGCGCCGCCAGCCCTGGTAAGTTCTCCACCTATGTGAAGCTGGGCCCTTTTTCGAATCTTTTGCTCCGTTTCAGTCGTAATTATTTAGAAGCCACATTGCTGTTTCTAGTGGGGTGCAAGAGCAGTTCAGGAAGAAAGAAGGTCTGAAGCCCCCTGTGTGTGCCAAGCACTTGGCAGACGTTGGTTGCGGATGGACGGCCGACTACAACTGTCCTGGGCAGGTTGCTCAGCAGCTTTAAACTGAAGGTTTAGAACTTTAAGGTTTAAGGTTTTAGAATTTGTTTGTTGTTTATGATTGCCGCGTTTATGGTTTAGGGTTTTATGGTTTGGGGTTTTAGGGTTTAAGGTTTTCTAGTTTACGGTGTAGTGTTCTCAAAACAAGCTGGTTTTTGGGATCCCTAAACAGATATTGGTCAGCGGATGCTAAGGCCGAAGGCTCCCACAACTAGGGGTTTAGAGTCGCGAAGCTCCCACAAGCAGGGGAACTAAGGGGATAGCTACGCAGGTAGACGCCAAAATATGGGTACCAATTGCCAGCCCCAAGCCCTGATGCCTACCTCCCCTCCCAACTCCTCAATCCTAGACCCTAAAACCCAAAGCCTAAACTCGAAATTCTAAATCCGAGGCCCTACACTCTAAACCCTCAGATCAATGAGCTTCCAAGTAACAACTGTCCTTGGCAGGTTGGTGGCTCGAAAGGGACTGCAGGCACCTTGGGCGAGTTATAAATCATAGGGGGATATGAGGCATGTTATTGTTGCTACAATTGTAGGCATTATTTTTTTTGTTGTGTAGGCTTTAGGGATTAGGACTTGCGGATTGGGGCCTAGGGTTAAGGATTTAGGGATACTACCCCTACAACGGAGAATGAAATGGAACAGCAAACCGAAACGAAATGCGAACTAGGATTCTATACGCAGCAGTCCATACCGATTAGGGATATAATCAGGCCCCCCTCCCTCAAAGGAACCTCCCTAAACCCAAATCCCAAGTATGGATTGGGGTCCAAACTATTCGGAGCCATTGGGGCCCATTGGGCCTGCTATTGGGGATTAGGGGCTCCTTTGACTCTTATCAACCCCTTCATGAAGCAGCCTGGAAACCAGCACCAATCAGTTTAGGGCTCAGGGATGGTCTAAAATCGATAGTTAAGACGCCTTAGAAAACAGCTAGCACCGAGAGTTTCTACAGTCATGCTGGTAGGGTTGTTTGCGGGAATGCTGTAGAACTATACGTACTTGAAGCATTGCGGTTCAGGTGACCTGCACGCGTGCTAAGGCAGTGACGGCAGCGAGGGCTACAAGTGCTGTTGCAAGCTACTTGGTTGCTGTTAAAGAACCTAAACTAAAGTTACCATGGTGGGTATACCTATATAAATTCATTTGGTTTCCTTATTCTAGTAATTTAAAGCAAGTTCCTTAACAGCACCCCAGGCTAGGGTGGTGGAAGTCGACTCATATGGCCCTACCGGTCGGGGTTAAGCTGAGGACGAGGGACCAAGATGTGGATGACATGAATCTACTCGAGCACTCAAGGGGTGAAGGGCGAAATTAAGATTCGAGAATGCCCCGCAGAATCCTTGAACCTGTCGCCTTGCTGTTTCAACATAGCGGCAGCACCATGGCCCTATGTAAACAAGATCAGAGTTGAGAGTCTAAAGGTCTACCAACCGTTAGGACTCCTACACGCAATGTCTTTTCAAGGGGCTCAAAAGGTGGGAGAAGGGTGGTTTAATGGATCCTGCTGTAGACTCCAGTAAGATGGGGCTTATTTCCTATAACCCACCTGTCTCAGGGCTTAGGTTTAGGGTTTAGGCCTTTCTTTACCTCACGTTCTGAACTCTCTCTGACCTTTGCAACTTGCTGGGCAAGCTGCAAAGAGAAGGAGGCTTGCATCCTATCAAATGGCTTGTCTTTACCTTCTAGCTAGGTAGGACAACACTCAAGTTATAAATCAAGTTCTAACCTTTATCCCCTTTTGCTACTGTTACAGACTGTAGCTAGCGCCAATTCTTCACAATACACCTACCTAGCCCTGTCATACCCTAGTCTTAACAGTCTTGTGTCCCCACATGGCTCAGCGCACTGGAGAAGCTCCCCTTCGAAACTCTGAATGAACTGTAGTCTAAACTCCTTAAAGGCGGTATATAGGAGACTATACAGTATAGGGTTTTAGGGGGCTGATATAGGGGATTGTATAGGGGAGAATAATGGGGGTGATTAAGGGAGATACTAGGAGTTTCGACAGTAGCTCAAATGGGGGCTTACAAATCAAGAGTCCCTTTTTTGGGGGGTGCTGCAATAGAGATTGAGATATTTGGGGGTACACAAGGAGACACAAGGAGGGCCCCTGTTTGGTAAATCCCTTCTTCGCAAATTGCTGGGTTGGACGTTACTCGTCAGCGGCTGCTGGTTCTTGCGCCGGATGACATAAACCGAACCTGTAAACTCCATGGAGGATTGTGAACAAGTACTCAGACCGCGCGCTCTTTGCGAAGAAGGGCCTCAATTGGGAGGAAGGCGCTAGGGCCGTTAGGGTTGGAATTTGGGGAAACTTGAAGACTGTGCATGCAATGCTTATGAATGGACTTGGGTTTTGTTCTCTGAGCTCTAAACCCTAAGCTCTAAACTTTTTCAGTGGCCCCTCATGGTCATAGATTTCAGGGCTCGGGCTTAGAACTTTGACGGTCCAAGGACCTCTGCATCTTAAACTGAGATGGAAACCCCACATCGCCCCCTTTTCAAGGGACAGCAGACTTTACCGAGACTCTTTTCAAGGTTCATGTTTGTGTGAGGGTTGTCCCTAAACCCGAAACCCCTTTCATGTTTGTTTTGGGGTTGTGTAGTCATTTCACGCTGACCCCCAGACTCAAGATACCCACATGAGCTATAGCCTCAACTCCTTAAAGGGCGCTATGTAGGGGATATATAGGGTTTAGGGTTTAGGAGGTTATATAGGTGATTATGTAGGGGACTACTTTAGGGTTATGAAGGGGGATACAGGAGTTTAGACTATGAACGCATTTTGTATGCTGGTGGGATTGTGGGCCCATACTTTTTGACATGTTAGCACGACTGATGCCCAAGAGCAAGCCTATCATGGCTGTGCACATTCCTTAAGGAAAGTACACCTCAATGTGTTTGTCGCGTATCATTGTTACATGTGTTACAGATGTAAACAGGATTTCTTATATCTTGGGCTCCTGTTCTCCCCATTTTTCTATGTATGTGTTCCTTACTAAACACGCTGTAGATTTGAATTGGAATCTTTCAAGTTTTGGACTACTTACACACACACATGTACATATATATATATGTATATATATATATACACATGTAAACCCCTTTTCTATGATATTCATGGTCTCCAATAGATGCGATGTTCTGATTAGTTGCTAGTTCCCGTTGAAATTTATACAAACAGCGTTTTATACGGGCGCGCAACAGTCCTATCTGTTTGTAGCTTAGGGTTTCGGCTTATAAAAGGGGGATAGATATAGGAGTTATATAGGGCTAATACGGAATATAGGATTTTGGTGTGAAAGGGGTTTCGGGCTTTCGGCCAGAAAAAAAAGCTTATATAGCGGCTTACAAATTATAATGTCTAGGGCACAGCGAAGGGAAGACCAAGTTATGACCAGGAACCATCCTTTCGGCTCTTATATCCACATATAGGGTTTCGGGTGTCGGTATATATATATATGTATGCATAACACGAGTGCTTCATAACATATGTGCCTAGGATTGGTGTAGGACAGCACTCGGTGACGGCACTCAGTGTCTTTTGAGAACTGTGGGCTCGTATTGGCCTTTGGCTAAGTGCTTGTAGGGGATTATGCATGACTTGTCTTTTGAAAAAGCCCACTTAAGTTACGACCTGGCTATATCCGTAGCATCTTATATGTCTTTAGCAGCCCCTTTTATGGTGTCTTCATCATAACATACTACTATTGCAGATTATGTTGGGGCGCCCGACTTTTCAGAACCCGCCAGTATGGTCTGTGTGGTGGAGGTCAGAGGGTCCACGATGACACTTTGTACGGACACTCTCCTCTCATTTCAAGCACCCCCCCAAGCCTCTGATGTTCACTATGTACCTTCAAACCTTCAAAAAGGGTTAGTTACCATTGAGAATAGCTATTAAAGGGGGAGGTGTGTAAGACAGGGGCAAGGCATTATGTAGGGTTCATGCTGATTTCGGTACAAACCTTCGCCCACCTCTCCCTCAAAGGAAATGAGATTCCTGAAGTTCCCCAAGTGGGACCACATAATCTGGGCAAATTATGGCTGTGAACTGCTATAGTTTTCCCAGAATGGCTTAACATCCCTAGTGTCGTTGGAATATGGAGTAAAAGTTTAGCCAAAAACAGATAGTTGACACATTGTGGATACATTGTCTACATAGGGATAAATCGTGAGAGAGAGAGAGAGAGATATATATATATACAGATAGCGGTATATGGTATGTGTATATATATGGTGTAGGGATATATTTCCCCAATAGTGGAGAATCAGCCGGAAAATCAAATGGAAAATGCCATGGAAATTTCGGGTTTACATGAGTTTCATGAGGTTTTATAGGGAAAGTAATGTCAGCGTGGAGAAACATATGGAAAAACATCGAACATCAAAGGGAAACCGTGGACTATAGGGATCAGGGTTATTAGAAATTAGGGGCTGACATAACTTAAATGGTGTAATTCGGGGTAATATAGGAGTAGTGGAAAAGAAGCTGGAAACTCGCATTAAGAACCCTAAATCGATCGCTACATCGTAAAAACCTCGCATCCCCAACCCTGACTCCCAAGCCCTCGACCTTTAGGGTTTTAGGGTTTAGGGTGCAGACCTTGAACCAAGACTCCTAAAGGAACTTAAATTCACACACCGTAATATGGGGCTACAGTAAGCAATAGGGTTCCCTTGTTACAGTAACTCCATTTAAGTTCCTTAACAGCAACCCATCTGCTACCAGGCATGGGTGCCGGTACGCCCAAGAACAAAGTTGGGGAGGATGGCTTCTGGACCCTGGTTCCCCATGGAGAGACCTGGCCACTGGAAAACTAAGCTTCTTGCTTTCGGGTTCAGGGTTGACATGTCTCTCCCGTGGTGACTATTCCTGGGTGCGGGACTAACCGTTGTGAGCGACCG